CCTCCTGCACACCCCCCACCGGGGATGTGCCCGCAACCAACATACATGCCCCTGACCGGAATCGAACCTGGGACCCCTCAGTCCGCAGACCGACGCTCTACCACTGAGCCAAACCAGCTTCGGCAAAAGCATTCAATTCTTATTTGAAGATTAGCTTGTTCACTTTTTGAGGGGCAAATCCACAAACTACGTACTGAAAGATATACATTATAGGAAAAATATAAAATTGAAAGTGATGGGCATACAGTAGAAACTACTGACAAAATAGAATTTATTTGACAATAAAGTGACAAGCAAAATAATGAATTTTGTTTTTTTTTTTTTTTTTTTTTTTGGTATTGATTTCAGAGAGGAAGGGAGAGGGAGAGATCAAAATATCAATGATGAGAATCACTGATTGGCTATCTCCTGCATGCCTACTGGGAATCAAGCCTGCAACCCAGGCATGTGCTCCTGACCAGAATCAAACTTGAGACCCTCCAGGCCTACACTCTATCCAGTGAGCCAAATTAGCTAGGGCAGTATTTCTTGTTTTTAAAGAAATGTAAGAGTTTAGAAGTTTGTGTGTAAATTATATATACTGCGGTTAGAATAGAGTAAGGATATGTTTTTGTTTTTTATAGGTATTTTCACATTTTCTAAGTGCTGTGTGAGCTACATGAAGATCACAACAAATTGGTGTGTTTTTCCCCCTAATATTGCTCATCTCATTTGATTTGGAATGCCAGTAATATTCAAGGCAGAATGGACAGAGGATGTCTAGAATGATAATAACATTTGCATTTATTAAGGTCTAAGTGCTAGGCACTGTTCAAGTGCTTGGAATATATTGTTTACTCAGCAAAGTAGCTGTGAAATAAGTACTATTATTACTATTGTATTTACCTGAAAATAAAATGGGGCTAAGTCAAGCATGTCAAACTGCTGCAAGTTTGACATGCTTGAGCTAAGTATTCTACCCAAAGTCATGGTCCTCTCAAAGACCTGTAGGGGGAATGGGAGATAAATTCTATAAGAGGTATAAATGAACTGTTAGGATACATTATTTCTTTTTATTAACATTGGAGAAAACTGCTTAGAGGAGAAAATGCCATTCGAATGTGGCATAAAGTATATAGTGGGTGGAGGATGTGGAGTGAGCAGAAAAGGCACAGCAGGTGAAGAAGTGGGACAGTTGGGGGTGCAGTTTTGTAGATTGTGATCCAGTTTTGCTAAGTGTTAAGCTCTAAGCAGAGTTTCAGGAGCCAATACCGGGAAGGTATGTTGAGGTCACTTTTGAGCTTTCAAAAATGCCATTTAAGTCAGTTTGGACATTTTGTTTAAGCACAGGAACACTTATTGAAAAAGTAAGATTTTCTGAGGCGAGAGCTGTATACTTAGCTGTGGAAGCTACTGACCCTCATCACCTTCCAGTGCGTATTTCTCTAGTAACGTAAGATTTTTTTGCCTTACAAAAATCCTTAGCCAACTATTCTAACTGTAAGGTATTGGGTCGGCAGCTAAGTAATTGCGGATTTTTTAAAGAAAATCAAAGACAATTTTTTCATGGAACTAAATAACTTTATTCTGTAATGTATTGCCCATTTTGATCAATGACCTCTTGCCATCTTTCAGGCAGCATCATAATCCCACGTTCAAAAAACTTCTGGTTTTTATTAGCAAAAAACTGAATCAGGTACGATTTGACATCATCATCATTATTGAAATTTTTACCATTCAAGGAGTTTTGTAAAGATCGAAACAAAAAGTAATCAGATGGTGCAAGGTCAGGACTATATGGTGGATGTGGCAAAACATCCCAACCAAGCTCCATTAATTTTTGCCGAGTGACCAAAGATGTGTGTGGCCTTGCATTGTCATGATGGAATACAACACCTTTTCGATTTGTCAATTCGGGCCGCTTTTCTTCAACTGCATTGTTTAATTTCGTTAGTTGTTCAATGTAGACATCAGAATTGATCGTTCGGTTGGGTGGTAAGAGTTCAAAGTAGACAATTCCTTTGTAATCCCACCAAACTGATAACAAAACCTTCTTTTGATGAATATCAGCTTTTGATGTTGTTTGAGTTGGTTCACCTGGCCTGCTCCACGATCTTTTCTGCTTGATATTGTTGTAAACAACCCATTTTTCATTGCCAGTTATCAGTCGTTTTAAAAATAGATCATTTTCATTACATTTCTTTAGCAAATCGCAGCTGCTAATGCGTTGCGTTAACTGTGATTCTTTCAGTTCGTGAGGAACCCATGTATCGAGTTTTTGAACATAGCCAAGTTGTTTTAAGTGATTTTTCAATGCATGTATGTGATACATGAAGCTTCTCTGCAATCTCACGTGTTGTACTGTGACAGTCCGAATTGATTATTGCTTTGATTAGGGCGTCATCAACTTCAACTGGACGACCAGAGCGTTTTTCATCTTTGAGTGAAAAATCACCAGAACGAAATTTGGCAAACCAATTTTGACACTGCCGTTCTTTTAAGGCTTCGTCACCATAAACAGCACATAACTTTTTATGAGCTTGCGATGCGTTTTTCCCTTTGCGGAAATAAAAAAGCAAAATATGACGAAAATGTTCCTTTTGATTTTCCATTTTTCAACGAATGCCAAACGAAAACTACAAAACAGATCAAAAAACTTTTTTTACTGATTAACAGCTGAATAGCCAACTATCAAATAACAAAATGTGTTTTACATTTGTACTACGTCTGCAAACCTAAAAATTCAACTGAAGCCATGTGTGTGAAACCCGCAATCACTTAGTTGCCGACCCAATAGAATAAAATATTTCTAACTCTAAGGTTAGATTAGCTTTGCTGGGAGAATTTTTAAATGACTTCCTACATAAAAATATTCAAAAAATATTTATCTAGAATATGGAAACAAGACAGTCTTGTTGGTGTATTTGTTTCTTATTGCTGCTGTAACAAATCATACTGTTACAAAAATGCCAGTTTATTCTCTTAAGTTCTGAAGGTCAGAAATCCCTAAAATTGGTCTTTGGGGTTGCATTCCTTTTGGAGGCTCAAAGGGGAGAATCCACTTTCTTGCCCTTCCCAACTTCTAGAGGTTGTTTGCATTCCTTACTTGGTGGGCTAAGCTTCCAGTTGCAGAGACAACAGTGTAGCATTTCCCAATCTGTCTCTTACCCCTCTGCTTCTGTTGTCCTATCGCCTTCTGTCTCTGTGACTCCCCTCACCGGTTTCCCTCTTGTAGCAATCCTTATTAGTACATTGGGCTCTCCTATATAATCCAAAATCATCTTTCCAGCTCCGGATCATAAACTTCCTCTTATCTACAAAGTCCCCTTTGCCATGTAAAGTAACATATTCACAGGTTCCAGGGCATTAAAATGTGGGCATGTTGGGGGGACATTATTCAGCCTGCCACAGGTGTTATACATGCATATTAATAATGTAACATAGTATGATATTAGGTATTAGAAATAATATCCATAATGTTGGGGGTTCTCAGTTTAAGCAGCTCATGGTTTCATGGTTGAACTGAATCTTGGAGAATAAGTAGGAATCCATCAGGCAAGAACAGGTGAGAGGAATTCCAGCAGAACGCTGTGTTAAGGGTATGGTAGAGTAAGCCATGTGATGAGTGTGCTGTTTTGTAATTAATAATACCTTGACTCTACTCTATTGGAGGAATGTGTAAGGGGTGTGTGTGTGAGTGGAAGAGAATGTCTAAGTCTGAGTAAGGGGCCCATCACAAGAGACCTGCATCTGCATCCTCTCACTTTCATTAGTGATCTCTCTCTGTGGTTAGCCTTCCACTTGGTGGTTCAGGGCCCTCTACTCTTTTCTCCGTTGTGCTTTGAAACATGAGAATTGGAGATTTGTCATTTTTAGTACTCAATGCATTCTTAAGGCACTTGGCTCATGAAAGTAAATGCATTATTATGAAAATATCATTTCAACTTGTATTTGTGTTTCAATTGTTCTTTTCTTCTGTGAGAGCCCTTGGTAAACAAGTGAGAATAGTGTGTGTATGGGGGGGGGGGTGGTTGGGGGTAGGAGGCGGGTTGAGTAAAGGGTATTACAGGGAAGAGAGCTGAAGCAGTATTGGGTCCACCAAGCTTACTATAAAAGGCCAGTGAGTTGGTGGTGATTTTAAAAATAAACCTGGCTGTCCAGGCACAGCACCATCAGTAAGTTTGAGAGCCTAGTCACAGCTTAATCATTTATTCTCCAATCTACTCTAAAATTCGTGGAAATCCGTTACTATGCATATCTTATGTTTTCTAAATTTGACTGATTTTTTGGTATTTAAGCATTTTAAACTGATAACATTTCTAATAAAGACTATCTTGTAACCTAGTTCCTTAAAAAGAAATATTCCTGTAGATGGAATTCAATTGAATCTCAACTTGATTTTATATTAAAATGAATTCCTTTAGCCATCAATATTGCAATAAAAATTAATATTCTTTGACATTGAGATTATAATTAAACAGTACAACAAAGTAAATAATTTGTGAACAGACAGATCTGAATTTGAATCTCAGCATTATAATTTTTCTGTGTAGCCTAGGACAAGTTATTCAAGCTCTCCAAGTATGTTCTTTTATCTATTAAGTGAAGATAACAGCCTTGTGAATTCTTTTTTTTTTTTTTTTTCATTTAAAAAAAAAGAAGAAAAAATAAAAAAGAACAGATTCTGGGTTAAATCTCAGCTCCAGGACTTAAGTAACTTGCCCAAGAACAACCTGGTATTAAGTTCTGGAGCTGAGATTTAACCCAGAATCTGTGTTTTTTATTTTTTTTTCTTCTTCTTTTTTAAAAATGTTTTTACTTATTTTAAGTGCCCAGTTACAGCCCTTTCCTCAACTTTAAGATGTGGATGAGCAATACCACATTTCTCCTAGGGCATGATGAAGTTTACCAGGTCAAGTATATAAAAGGTTTAGAATAGTTGTTGACATAAAGTGTTTTTGTCATCATTATTTTTAATAATTTGTTGAGTAACATGTCATTTTCGCCACTTTTTATTTTAGGTGAATCTTGGAAGCAACCAGTACCTCTTCTCCGTCACAGTGGACCCTAAGGAGATGCCCTGCTTCTGTCTGCGCCACGACGTGGACGCCCTGCTCTGGCAGCCGCACTCCAGCAAACAGGACGAGATGTGGGAGCACATCGCCACTTTCAATGCCTTAGGTACACGGCGGGGCTTTCTCCTTTTAAAAATTGGAACTGTCCTAATTACATTGGGATTGATTTCTGCCATACTGTGGTTGCTTGTACTATAGTTGATGAATGTCAGTGCTTTTGGAACAGTAGGACTAAGCTGTTTTATGCTTGTACAGAAGATCAATGCAGAATAGAAATCAAAGCGGTTAACTAAACACTTGAAATATTGAAATCATTTGTTTCAATTAAGCTATACCGTATAGAATATGAACAAGGTGTTTGACAATACCCTACTCAAGCATGTCAAACTCGTGGCTGGCGGGCCACATGCCTTCTTTAAATAAATGAGGCTTGCATGAATCTGGTATTCACATTTCTTTAGAGTACACTTCAAAAACAGAATTGCTCTGAGGCAGTGGTTAGCAAACTCATTAGTCAACTGAGCCAAATATCAGCAGTACAATGATTGAAATTTCTTTTGAGAGCCAAATTTTTTAATCTTCTTCTAACGCCACTTCTTCAAAATAGACTTGCCCAGGCCGTGGTATTTTGTGGAAGAGCCACACTCAAGGGGCCAAAGAGCCGCATGTGGTAATGTACATTAGGAGACATCTTTTATGGGACATAAGTGCAAAGAACCATTCTAAAGAAAAGCACTTAGGGAAAATGGTGACAAACAGAAATAAAATGGTATTTTCCCCTTTATCTTACAGAATAAATTTTATTTTTTTTTAAGCTAGATAGGGATGGAAAATTTTTTTTTTTTAAATATTTTTATTGATTTTTTTACAGAAAGGAAGACAAGAGGGATAGAGAGTTAGAAACATCGATGAGAGAGAATCATCGATCAGCTGCCTCTTGCACACCCCCTACTGGGGACGTGCCTGCAACCAAGGTACATGCCCTTGACCGGAATCGAACCCGGGACCTTCCAGTCTGCAGGCTGATGCTCTATCCACTGAGCCAAACCGGTTTCGGCGGAAAAAATTTTTAACTGCATAATTGTAGACTTACTGCAAGAATTGATTTTATATCAAAATACATTAGTATTGTATGGGAGACATTTTTTTACATGAATCAGCCACAATAACTGGTTTATTGAAAGGTTATTTTAAATTGGCAACAGAAGTAGAATTATGCATTTTGATTCCTATATGTGCACAGCCCTAGTGGGGAGATTTGTCAGTTATCTTTCGAGGTAATAATTTAGCTGTTACATTTGTTAATTCAGACTTCAAATGGATTTTTATGACCTGAAATAAAGTAATTTAGCTGCTTATTTCTAGCCTTTCCACTATAATTCCTATTTTTTCATTTTCTATCCACTTTTTTTATAAGAGGAAACGCTTACCATAATTTTCATAAGCTCAGAACCTCCATTTGTAATCCCCAGGTCCCCTAGTATAGAAGAAATGTGTTATGCTTGAGTTTAAGGTAAATCAACATTATAGATATTATATGCATTATTAATTTTGTCAGGGTTAGCCTGGAGAACTAATTCTAAGCTATTCACATAGGAACCTACATCCTGCTTTTCCTGCTCACACCCTGCTTAATGAGGAAAAAAACTGTTCATCTGTCTGTGCTCTGTGGTTCTTTTTCTCATTTATTGTTTGATGAACTTAATTTACTTCAGTGTTACATTTTTTATCTCATGTTACAGCTGAAAATCCCAATTTACATATAAGCTTTTTAAATCTATAAAGTTAATTGTTAAAAAGATTAATACTGTTGTGTTTTTTTTTTTTTTTTTAATATATATATATTTTATTGATTTTGTACAGAGAGGAAGGGAGAGAGATAGAGAGTTAGAAACACCGATGAGAGAGAGTCATCGATCAGCTGCCTCTTGCACACCCCCCACCGGGGATATGCCCGCAACCAAGGTACATGCCCTTGACCGGAATCGAACCCGGGCCCTTCAGTCCCCAAGCCGACGCTCTATCCATTGAGCCAAACCGGTCTCGGCAATACTGTTGTTTTTTTCAAAGTTTAATTAAGGGATGTCCTAATGAAATTTTATAAATTAGATACTTTTGAATGTTCTTTCACGTTTGAAGTGTTCTCAAGGTTCTACTTAATGGGAGCTGAATTACAACAAAATTCTGTTGTAGAGTTGGTAAAAATACTAGCACAGAAGTAGTAAGAACATATTGTGCATATTAGTACCTTTAGGAATGAGGCCTGCATTATGAAATAACATTACAGTGGTAGCCTATTTATTAAGAAAAAAGAAAAAGATTGTGTCATGACCCATCTGTGACTGATGAACTCAGTTATCTAATTGGCATTTAAAGTTATATTGGCATGTTTCTAGCATTTAAAATTTTAGCTGTTTAGTGTTTTAATTATTCATGGATGTCAGATGGTGCTATATAGTTCCTTTCTTGAAGAGTTGAACACCTGTCTACTTTGTTCCTTAGGTATTAAAGCTGTATTTTTGCACCAGCTGGGAGAGATTGATTGTGGCTAATCATTAATAGTTCATTGTTGAGTATTTATGGTATATCTTTAATTTAGGCATTTTAATAATGAATCACAGCTTTTCTCTTTCTGTTTAATATATAGTTTTTCTCTTGTTTGTCTTATTTGTTGGCAGGCTATGTCCAAGCATCAAAGAGAGACAAAAAATTTTTTGCCTGTGCTCCGAATTACTCCTATGCAGCCCTGTGTGAGTGCCTGCGTCGAGTGTTCATCTACCGTCAGCCCACTCCCATGTCCACTGTACTTTACAACAGAAAGGAAGGCAGGCAAGTCGGACAGGTTGCTAAGCAGCAAGTAGCAAGCCTAGAAACCAATGATCCTATAGTAGGTTTTCAAGCAACAAACGAGAGATTATTTGTACTGACCACCAGAAACCTCTTTCTAATAAAGGTGCAAACGGAGAACTAGTTACTCCACCATGCTGGCTCCTCTGTGCTGGGGAGTAGGTGTCAGTGGTAGGGAAGGCTGGGCAGTTACTGTAACCGGTTAAGTTTTCATATGTTAAAAAAATGATGTTGTATTTTATTTTTAAAAAGATATTGGAAGTATATCCAAGAGATTATGATTCTATAAAAGCTATGGAATGAAGCTGAAAATTTAGAGAAATTGGCTTCTGTAAAAAACGTAGATACCATTAGCAGTGTAATTATTTTTTAAAAGCAAAAGCTAGAATCTTTTATATGAAAAAATGTACAATTCAGTGTTTTAAAAATAAAAATATTTATCGTGTACTCTTTGTTTATTGACATCATTTCTATGTTCTGTACCTATAGAATGTATAGGATAATAGTAAAACTATTGATGCCTGTAAATAATTAAATGAACTTAATAGCTGAGTTAGAAGGTGAAATATAAGAGAAGTCTAAGCAGATCCTAATATTCTTAAGTGTGTTTTAAGTCACTAAATTTGTGGTAATTTGTTAGTGCAACCATAGGAAACAATTTTATCCCAAAATTAATTCAAAATGGGTCAGAGATCTAAATGTAAAGCCTGAAAAAAACTATGAAACTTCTAAAAGATAACAAAAGCAAATCTTTGTAACCCTGGGCGAAAGGTTTCCTGCATGAGACCAAAAGTGAGATCCATGAATGAGAAAATTGAAAAACTGAACTTCATCAAAAGTAAGAAATTATGTTCTTAGACAGTTTAGGAGAATGAAAGACAAGCCGCATACTAGAAGAAACTTACAAGTGCATATCTGATAAGGAACTAATATCCACAATATATAAAGAATCTTCAAAACTTAGTAAGAAAATGATCCAATGAATACTTTAATGGCCCAAAGTATTAAAGAAACATCATCTCAGATAAATGAATGGTAAGTAAGCACATTAAAAGTTGCTCAACATCAGTCATTAGGAAATTGCAAAATGAAAGCACAATGAGACATTACCACATAGCTACTGAAATGCCTCAAATTTAAGATTGTTCATACCAAGTGTTGAGAAGGATACGGGGCAATTGGAATGCTTATACATTGCTCGTGGGAATGTAACATCGAACCACTTTGGAAAGCAGTTTGATAGTTTTCTGAAATGTTTTACACACATCTGCCATTTGTGCCAGCGACTCCACTTACCCAGTCTCTTACCCAAGAGAAATGGAAGTACATGTTCATATATAACAGCATTATTTGTAATAGCCGAGCCTGGGAGCAAGCATCAGCAGTTGGTGAGTGGACAAATACTACTATGTCGTGATGTATCCATGCAATGGGCTGTTTCCTGACAATAAAAAGTAATCAAGTATTGATACCACCAATATGGATGAATAACAAAATAATTATGCTGAGTGAAAGACCAAAGCACATACTGTATGACTCAACTCATATGAAAGTCTAGAAAGTACCAACAACTTTCTACTGATAGTAACGTTAGTGGTTGCATAAAAGGGAAGGGTCAAAGGAAGCATTTTGGGTAAAGGATATGATCATTATCTTAATTGTGGTGATAGTTTCAGGAGTGTATACATAAGTCAAGCTTTGTTAAATAGTACACTTTAAACATGTACCGTGTTTCTCCGAAAATAAGGCCTAGCGCATAGAAAGATAAGACATCCCCTGAAAATAAGACCTAGCACAACTTTGGGAGAAAAAATTAATATAAGACACTGTCTTATTTTCGGAGAAACGGGGTAGTTCATTTTATGTTCATGACTCCTTGATAATGATCTTAAATTTTTTTTTGAATTTAATCCATTTCTTCTTCTATAGGTGCAAACATGTTTTTCTTGTTTGAAATATCATTTTAGGACTTTTTATATTTTGGAAATAAGCGTCTATTCCTTTTTTTTTTTTTTTTTTTGTAGCTATACCATGATTTCTATTAAGACCATATATTTCTATGTTGCTGGCTCCATCCTTGGCACTATCACATAAAGTTAAGCCAATCAGTACTTTGCATTTCCCTGGTCATGGAGACTGGTTCATAGGTGGCCTCTTGACCCATATAGGACCAGTGATTCACAATGAACATTTGCTGTCATTGCTGATACAAAGACTTACAGTAAGGTGAGGACCTCTCAAAATGTGGAACCAACAGGGATGGAGCTAAGAGGCTGTGAGAGAGAACATGACCTTGATTACACCATCTAGTCCTTCCTGGAAGTGCTTAAATCTAGATCTTAATGAATCTTCAGGGTAAGATTCATTAAGTTCTTTTTTGCCTAAGCCAGTGGTTGTCAGCAAACTCATTAGTCAACAGAGCCAAATATCAATAGTACAATGATTGACATTTCTAAACTTAAACCATATAAGTAGGTACATTGTTATTAACTTAATTAGGGTACTCCTAAGCTGACCTTTGCTAAAAACTCAAGGGGCCAAAGAACAGCATGTGGCTTGTGAGCTGCAGTTTGCCGACCACTGGCTAAGCCAATGGGTCAAAAGAGGCCTTATTCCATGGTGAAAGTTATTTTGATATGACACTCTATCCTTCGCATACTTTTATTTAAAGTGAATTAAATGTTTTATTGATAGTATCAGTAAATAGAGATTTAATAAATAAATTACAAATGCTTCTTAAAGGGGGAGATTTTTATCCACTATGTATGTCTATGAAAATGTAAGTATATTATCGTTAATATATACCTATGAAAATAAATTTATAAATTAACTTCTTTGGTGCCAGAGGGGGGGGGAATAAAATATTTATAGGATTTTTTAAATCCTAAAACTATTTTCTGACTGACATTTTGCATATGCCCACACTTCAAATCTTCTATTATAAATGATTATATTTTTAAGCCATTTAAATATATTCTACAACTGATTTTTTAAAAAGTATTTTGAGATTCAGCTCTAATGTTTGCCAAATACCCAACATGCAACTCTTACTCCTTGAATAATGTTACCAGATGAATGTTGAAGAAGACTGAGTGTATTAATATTAAAGCAAATATTGCCCCCTCATCTGCCATCTGCTTTTTCTCAGGAAAAATGTTATTCAGCAGGGGACATTAATTCAGTCACTGAAATCATGAAAAGAAGCCCTTGGCAAAGAAATTAAATTTTCAGGTTCTTTACTAAATAGCAAATATGTATTCATTGGGTTTTGTTTTGTTTTTCTGTCTGCAAATATACACATCACTATAGAAAAAAAGAGAAGGATGAGTATATCTTAGATAGAAGTACCAGGTCATAAAAGTATGAAGTGTATTCTATAATGCTGGTATAATTGGTTCTGCTGGAAGGTTTATTACCGGTGCTTCAGGAACCCAACTGGGAGCGGAGAAAAACTGCTGGCAAGTTAAGAACAATATGGAAATTTTTTGTGGAAAACAGTCTGGCACTTCCTCAAAGGGTTAAACACAGTTACTATATGATCTAGCAATCCCATGCCTTCACACATACCTGAGGAATAAAAACTTGTACATTAATGTTCATAGTAGCATTCTTCATAAAATACAAAAGTACAAACAACCCACATGGATAAGTGGGTAAATAAAGTGATATATCTATACAATGGAGTATTACTCAGGAATAAAAAGAGAAAAAGTACTGCTCCTGGCTGGGTGGCTCAGTTGGTTAGAGCATTCTATGCACCAAAAGGTTGCAGGTTTGATTCCCAGTCAGGGCACATACCTAGGTTGTGGGTTCAATCCTCTGGTTGGGGTGGACAGGAGGCAGTCGGTCAATATTTCTCCAATTGACATTTCTCTCTCCCACTCTAAAAATCAATGAAAATATATCTTTGGGTGAGGATTAAAAAAAAAAAAAGAATGAAGTACCAAAACTTCCTACAATGTGTATGAACCTTGAAAACATGCTAACATGTGGGAAAAGGTCTAAAAATAGGCTATATGTTGTATGATTTCATTTATATGAACAAGTAGATCAATAGAGAAGGAAAGCAGATTGTTTGCCAAGGGCTGGGGGAAATATGGCGACTGCCAATGGGTATAAAGGATTGGGGTGAGTGATGACAAAAATGTTCTAAAATTGATTTGGGTAATGGCTGCACAATTCTGACTACACTAAAAATCATTGACATACTTTAAGTAAGAGGATGGAGTGGTATCCTATATAATAAAAGGCTAATATGCAAATTGACCAAACATTGGAATAACTGGTTGCTATAATGTGCACCGACCACCAGAGGGCAGACATTCAATGCAGGAGTTGCCCCCTTTTGGTCAGTGCGCTCCCACAGGGAGAGTGCCACTCAACCAGAAACCGGGCTCATGGCTGGCAAGTGCAGCATTGGTGGCAGGAGCCTCTCCCGCCTCTTCAGCAGCACTAAGCCGTCACTGTGAGAGGGTACAGGCTGGGCTGAGAGACCGCCCCTTAACCCCCAGCGCATGAATTTTGTGCATCAGGCCTCTAGTATCTTAATAAAGCCATTATAGAAACAGAATAATGACATAACAAGGCTAAGAAAGCCTCAAAAAGCATCTCCCATGCTAAACATGTATATATTTATGGATTTTTTAAACAATTGGTATTTTTACCTTCATCTTATTGAACTATCTTATTTTTAAAGAAAAAAAAATTTCTTAGTAGGGGAATTGTTAATAACCAAGCTGTTCATATAATTTTATTGGGGGAAATGGATTAGATAAAGTGGTGATACTCCCTCTTCCAAAAGCAAGTGAACAGTTATTCTGTGCACTGTAGGATCTTTAGCAGCATCCCTGACTTCTACCCACCTGATACCAGCACGCTTGCCCAATTGAGATAACCAGATGTCTTCAGACAATGCTAAACGATCCTGGGGACAAAATCGGCCCTGGTTGAGAATCACTGTAATAAGAGTTTTGAGTTTATGAGAGAGGACAAGGTGGAAATAAACTTGGAATATAAAGTTGAGGCCAGATTGGTAAATCCTTAAATACCGGATTAAAGATCTTTGAGTTTAATTTGAAAATAGGGAACTATAGGACATGTGGGGCTGGGGAATAATGCGATTAAAGTAGTGCTTAAAGTTTCATCTGTAAAAAGTATGTAGACTAAGGAGAAATCGGAGACACAAGTCCAGCAAGAGAGCGATTATAATTGTCCTTGCAAAAAACAAAAGCGCATGAGAAACTGAGCTGGAGTGTTGACTATGGCAGTCAAGAAGAGGGGACAGATAGGCAATGTTTGTAGGATAAGGACATGGGAAGAAGATATGGTGCAAGTCTTTTATCATGTACTCGGGAGGAGGAGCAAGTTGTAGAAGAAATACGCTGTCTTTCGTTTGGAACATCCTTGTGTTGAAAAGTCGTCTTTTAAATTTCCTTAAAAATTTTCTACAAGTTGAGGACAGAGAATTCTATTTTGAAATGCAAAACCAAACAATACCTCTTGGGAACCTAATAATAGAAGATAGACTACTGATAATATCTTATCCCATTGGGAAAGTTACCCATTTTTCTAAATGATAGGTTGGAATCTTTGCCTCAAAGTGCATAGGAGCCACTCTAAGGCAAAGTGGCATCTAGAATTCTATTTCTTAAAGGTAATAAGAATTACAACTAATACATGTATAACACCTACCACATACCAGCCACTGTTCTAACACTTTACATAACTTTTCTTCCTTAAGAACCCTATTATTACTTTTCAGAAGAGAAAACTGGGACACAGAGAAGATAAGTAGTCTGCCTGAGTGATACATTAGTGAAATAGCCAGTAAGTGGCAGAGCCCGGATTAGAACCAAGCCAGTACAGACTCTAGTGAGCTTTTAGCCACTTTTTAAAATCTGCTTTGCACACACAAATAGGGACTTGTCCACATCCTTTTTGATGATGGTGATGGTGATGATGTCCTAACTCATATGTCCCAAGTCTAGAATTTTATGGACTTTTGGGCCCAATTGTATGTCTCAAATCATTGCTCTTCTTTTGCTGGCTGGTTAACTTTTCTTGCAGTTCTTAAGTGTTCAGTATCTTCAAAGGCAGAGGCTTTTGGGAAGTGAATGATTAAAAATATTCAAATCAATGGGAAAGTTTGACCTATGATTTTAGAAACGCATGCTGTTACCCCATGCTTGGTGTTGTGGGTCTAGAAAAATTCCATTGCGATTTCTATTGCACTGATTTTTAATCCCTTCCAAATGCACGCTTTGTAACGGTTTCCCCAGTGACCTGATGAGTGACCTACCCCAGCTGTATGACAATTCCTAATTAGGCCTACGGGAGTTAAATAGTGTGGTATAATGAGAAGAAAAACTGCTATCCAACTGCTTCTGAACAACCTGCCATCTGGCTAGGCATCCTTCATAGCTTTTTTACTCTATTTTCTCCAAGTTTTGTTTCTCTCCCCCCTCCACCCCCCCTTTTT